CATAAGGGATGAGCAGCACTTGGGATGGCTGCCTGATTTTTTCCAGCCACGGAGCTTCCCAGCGCAATCAACTTGAACTTAGGAGAAATGAAGATATTTGGAGAAAGATCCATCCTTTTCTCAGGTAGTTGAATAACCTTGTATAGAAGTTAAATCTGTTGTGCAGCTACCAATGGCTCCATTTCCAGTGAAAGTACTAAAATATCTCTTCCTATCTCCAGCTGATATTAATGGGAGTTTCCCAGTAGATGGTGATGCGAGTAGTTCTCAAGTTGGTAGCATGAATCATAGAATAGTTTGGGTTGGAAGGGACCTTCAAAGGTCATCTAGTCCAACCCTCCTGCAATGAGCAGGGATATCTTCAACTAGATAAGGTTGCCCAAAACCACGTCCAGCCTCACCTTGAACGTTTCCAGGCATGGTGCATCTACTCCCTCTCTGGGTATTCTGTGCCAGTATCTTACCACCCTCATTGTACAGAATTTTTCCCCACATTCAGCTTGAACCTCTCCTTAGTTTAAGTGTGTGATATGAAGAGGAGCTTAGACCCATCAACTTGGGATGCTATCTCATCCCTTGTTGGAGGTTTTTTTATCTTTTCCACTACTTGAATACCATCTTGTACGATCTCTGGCCCAGCCTTCCTTTCCTCCTCCATTTTGGCAGAAAACAAGGAAGCAGCCATAAAGTAACAGGCTTGACGGCTAATTCCAGAACTGGAAGCTGTGACTTGGATGTAAGTGGAAGTGCTATTTGTCCTTGGTTAAAGATTGATTTTATGTCCCTAATGAAAACACCGGGACAATTCATCGTGCTGATTTAGCTAGTCAGCAGCAAGAGTGAAGGGCTTATTAGATACTTTGTCTGTAAGGCAGAGGAATGAGGAGGAGCTGAAAATGAGCACCTTTGTTTAAAATACATTAGTTTCTTTTCCATAGCCACATTTCTAAAGTGTAAAATGCTTCAACTTCTTTTAGAGCTGTGTGTTGGAGGAAGCTGTGCCTGCTGCTAGCAGTAAATGAGTTACTTAATGGGAAGAATGTTAGCAAAGCCTGGAGAGAAATAACAGCTGCTTTTTTAAGTGCAAAAAAAAACCCTATAATATTTCAAAACTGTAGCAAGATCAGGGATTTTTTTTAAAGGCCTGGATGAAAGGAAATTAGTAATGTGTAGGGGGTGCTGAATGGTCCAGTCACCTCACCTGTTTTAGTCCTGAATGTGGAGGGAATTCAAAGTCCGATGCCAGATGGAAAGCAAACCCAGAGCCACATGAACTACTAGCCAGTTTCCTTCAGCAACATTAATTTAGAGTCTCATGAGAACACCTTGGTTTGCTGCCAGTTTTGCCTTCAAGCAAAATTATCGGAGGACAGAGCAGTGCAGGCAGCGGTCCCTTTCAGGCGGCACAGGCTGCTGGCTTGGCTCTACTGAGAGCTTTATGGGGTAAGTCTGTGCCCTGGCTCTGTGCTGAAAAGCAACATTAATTATACCACAGCGCCGTGGGTTCTCCCCCGCCTGCCAGGTGTATTATAGGGTGCTGGCATCTTTTTGCTAGGAAAGGGGCTTGCCAAAACTTGTGCTTGAGGTTGGTTGATGTGCTTTGCGTTGCTGGTTCCCACTGGTGGGCTCCTCAGTTGTTTGGTGGGAGAGGGCCAGTGGAGGTGGTGCAGGTCAGGAAGAGGGGCTATGTAGCCAAAGTCACTTTTATTTGCTGTTTGCAGTGTTGTGGGATCACACAGTAACAGGTATGGAGGCGTGATGCCTCTCCACATATTCCAGTGCTGTTGCCTTCAAGACTGCCTTGGCACCTGTTAGGGTTTCTCATGTGGCACATGGGTTAATATTCTGATTTCTTGCTGTTTTCTTTCCAAGCTATCCAGGAGTCACAGTGTCTTTCTTTTCTTTTCTTCTGTTCTTTAATTCTGTTTTTTAGAGTTGTGAGGTGCTGTTAAGATCTGAGATGTGTAAGACTGTGACAAGGGCAATGGTTCAGACTGAAGCAGGGTAGGTTTAGATCGGACATAACAAAGAACTTTTTTATGATGAAGGTAGTGAGACACTGGAACAGGCTGCCCAGAGAAGCTGTGGGTACTGATGGGCTGCAGCAGTTCCATCTTGGAGCCGGCTGGCATTGGCTGTATTGGACATCAGGGAAGCTTCTAGCAACTTCTCACAGAGGCCACCCCATTAGCCCCCCAGCCACCAGAACCTTGCTATGCAAACCCAGAACAACAGGATAAAGTGTGTTTGTGCCATTCAAACCAAATTATGCTGGATCCGATGTCATTCATTCCCCTACAGCCTGAGTAAACACCTTAGCATGGGCCATGGCTGCTTTGACAGAATAGTATCAGGTGTCTGTTCATAATCTGGATCAAACTATCTCAGCTCAGTGGTCTAGCAATGCAGAGACCACCATGGTGCTTACGATTGCAGTAGCATAGCCTGAGATATGCACACTGGGCATTATTGTTAATAATCCACTGACAGTATCATCCACATATATTGCACCTTGTCCACCAAAGGGTCTTTCAAGTTCTCAGAGAGCTGAGAATAGTAATATTCTTGAAGGCAGAGGTAGAAAAGGAAAAAAATTACTTACTGGATATGTTGAGGATCAGTGATCTTTTTAGAGTGGGAATGTACAGGTGGGGAGACATTTAAAGCTGCATAAAACTCCAGGTGACCTTAAGGAAATTACCAACTATGCCACTGGGACATATCTGACCACATTGGCAGGGAAGTGTCTGTAGCTTATCAGCTGAACAAAGAAAGGGAAGGAGGTTCCTTTCCACTTCATCTCCAAATAAATAGATTGCCTGGGTTTCATTCCTGTTACCCGTGGCTTCACAAAGCTTTGCACCAGTACTGTCTGATCCAGATGCACATTTTTATCTGCATGACCAGGCCCGTGTTTGAGTTTGAGTGCAGATTTCAGATTTCAGAGCTTCTCACTATAATCAAGGCATTGCATTCCCACCTTTGTGGCTGTCCTTGTAATTGGGAATTCTGGAGGGCACAGGCAGAAAAGGGCACACATTTCTCTGGGATATCCAAGAAGCAACTCAGTACATATTTTAAAAGCTTTGCACTGGTCAGTACCAGAATAGGTATCCCCATCAGACAGGAAGAAGCATCTTCTGGCTGAACTAATCCAGAAACACTTTTCATTATATGGCAGGATAGTAAGGAGTCTGCCTGCACCTTGAAAAGTCCTGAAAAAATGTGAACTGCAGGCTATGGTGGGGTGGATGCTTCAGGAGCTGCTTTGTTGTTTGTCCATCTGCACAAGCCAGTTTCTTGCAGTGCACAGATCTTGACTACTTGGTCTTTTGCCCTGAGTAAACTGTCCTCAGAGGCAGTTCTTGGTACCAAAAAGTTGCTTACCAGCAGAAGGTTAACTCCTCTTAGGGTCAGGTGTTATGCAGAACTTAAATGGCATGCAGTTATCTGGCCAACCACAGTGGAGTAAATATTACTTTGAATCACTTCCAGTCTTCCATTAAATATTTCATAAGCACTGGGGACAAAAGCAGGAGCTATGGGTACTATGGGACCTAGAGCCTGCTGCTGCAAAGGGATTGCAATGCGCTGCCAGCAGTGCAGCTTCTGTGCAGACTTGCAGTGCTTGAGACTATTCAAGTATATTTTGAGAAGGGAGCTTCCTGTTTTTTTCCCAGAAAAAATAGTTTTAAAGGTGCTCCTGCCTAATTTTCAGAAAGCCAAACCCCACCTTAGTTATCAGGTCAAACATTCAGTTTGTCTTTATCTAGACCTCTTCTGTTCTCCCCATCTGTTCACTGTGCTGGGTCCCAGTGGAAAGGTCGGCATTTAATCATGGGTGCTGATCTGTTAGCTTTTTAGAAAAACTGGAGTCATCTGAATGGGCAGAAAGAGGAGAATCACTGAACTAGTTTACCTGGGTTTGCTGAACTTGGTTTGCTTCCCTAGGGAAACTCAATCCCATCTTCCTTTGTTAGGTTTTAGTTAGATAAAGACAGTGCTGAAGCTACATTCCTGCAAGTTGTTTCTTCCTTTTTTTTTCAAGTCTTACAGAGTAAGGGTGAGGAAATGGCAGGATTTGCAGAACTGCAAATTTGCTTACCTTCTGCCTTGCAAAGGATTTAGTAACCTTGCTCTCTGCTGGAGGGTTTGATCCTATAGCCCAGAGTCTGTTAGCTGTGTTTCGCTGCTGTTGCTTCTTCTTTTGGTTTCAGGCTGACTTCCTCCATCTTCTGTGTCCTTCAGGACATAGACAGAGGGGTAGATGTTTTGCACGTGTCTGAATTGTCCTTGAAAGGCATTAAACTACTAACTTCGGGTACTCACAAGTGCATCCGTGGCAGCACAGTGCGAAGTCTAGGCTGCAGAACCCACTCAAGAGGCTGGGTAGATTCCTAAAGCAGTCAAATACTCATTATCTGAGCACATTTAGCTATATTCTACATGAACTAAAGCCACAGAAGTTATGAGGCCACAACCATGATTTGAGGGCCAGTTAATATGGACCTTCAAGAAGCAAAATACCTGCTGGAAAGCAATCGCAACTGTGACAAACCTTCAGCAGAAACAAAAATACTTCTGTGTTCCTGTTGAAATTTGCTAATATGCTTTTCCACCTTCTTTCTACAAGGACAAAACTAGTTTAGGCAATTAAATAGAAGAATCTTGCTGCACCCTCCACATCAGACATCTTCCATACATCAGATGTATGTGAAAGCAGAAGGGGTGACACATCTGGTTGTGATCTGTCCTTGGGTCCTTTGGGCACATGATAAATCTGTGGAGTGCATTTCACACAGCAGCAGCTTATCAAACCTGGGTTCTTGAATCTCCATGCACGGAGGCCTTTGAGGATGGCTGATGAATACTGGCCAATGTTGAGTAGAACATGTCAATAGAACTATCAGGAAGGAAACGTTTCATTTATGGGATTGCGAACAAAATGTTTTGAGTAGTTTTTTATCAACAAATCCTAAACAATGCAAATGCAAACCAAGTAACTCACAGTGTGCTTTATTATTTTTTCACAATATTAACTAGACAGACATGGAAAGTTTAATGGCAGCATGTTCTTATAACATTTTAAAGACAAAGAACAACATAATCATATTAAATGATGATAAACTGACAAACTACATTACCATACATACATCATTCAAAGGTACTGGATAAACAATATCTGCTTATGTACATTTATGCTGGTGATAATTAAAATTCAAATATTCAGAAGAAAAAGAAAAAATATGCTATTTAAATTATAAAAATATACAGGGTTTTTGTGGAACTTTTAATGCTGTATAACTTTTTGAAACAGATTTCATTGTGTGATGAAGCTGCATTAACTTAGTATAGGAGTGTGATTTAAACCAAATACAGATTAAATTAGCTCTTTTGTCTTCCTTGTATTTAACCTTGTTTGAAAGAGAGATAGGAATGAAAAACAAAGCTAGGCTTTCACAATGAGACAGATTTTTTATACTCATAAATCAAAAGATGTTTAATTTTTCATATAGTAGTGAGCCATAAACTCAATAAAAATGAATCATTTTGCTAGCTTGTTTAAAAGTAGAGAGAGGAAAAAAAACTGTAGGCTTTAAACATGCTACTTCACTATACTTTTAATCAATAGGACATGTAGGTTTGTGGAGTGGAGTGCAGGTGCACAGCTAAGCAGAGTGTCATGCTTGAGGGTCAAAGCATGCAGTCGTTATGTATAGCTGACTCCCACTGCTTCAGATGGGGAGAACGCACGCATGCAAGTACTGGGTTACCGGGTCTGTATTCTTTGAACTGCTTCATCTTCATGTTTCCTTGCACATCTGGTTTCAGACATTTTTTTTTCCCTATAATTGTTCCTTTTTAGTGCAACCCTACTGAGGCTGTGTAATCCCCAGTCACAACAGCAAATCAACAAACTTTTATAGTGACTGGATAATTTTATAATAGCTTACATGTAATTTTGTAATTGAAAATTTTCAGTAATTGCAGTTGTGTAGCGCACACATTTGTAGCTGGTTTTAATTAAAAGTTATTTTCAGACTATCTTGAATAACTCCTGCATCACACAAAACTCTAGATTTTCTTACATACCAATGTCATGCTCCATATCTGCCAGCCCCTTTCCTCGTCTGTATATTCTCTGTTACCTTAACAGCCCCATTACTCCTTTGGTGGATCCAGTGCTTGTTCCATCACGAAACATCCTCTGTGTCAGCTCCGATTTCAGAATACTTAACTCACAATATTTTTTCCCTTGTTTTCCATCTGTTCCTACGTTACTGATCTATAACAGATCTTAGGTGATCTTACAGATTATTTTTTTTCAGAAGCAATATATTTTCCTTCGTTATTTTCTTAATAAATGGAGTGAAAAAGAATTAATGACAAATAAATCGAATACAGAAAAATAAAGTATTTATTCTAAATTCCTATGGATTTCCTGTTCTGCAAGAGACTGTCTTCAGAATTAACAAAGTTTTATAGTACAGAAAAATTGTGGAGTCTCTGTAATTTTTTATTCTGCCATTATATCATCCTTTTTCAAGGGAAAGGATGAAAGATGAATGAATTCCAGGTAGCAGTCCTCTTTAACCCAGGAGATATTTCAGACATGCCTTTGCTTCCCGCCACTTTTTGACCTCTTCCTTTGTTGTCCTCTGATCTTCGACATCAAACCAGCCTCAGAAGTGTCCCTCTTTTTTATTTTTTACTGTCACAACTTGGATATGCTGGGAGTGGTCAGCTGTGTGTGCATACATAGTGACAGAGAATGGACTTTGACTGAAGCATAGCCTTGGAGCACGGAAATCTATAAGGCATTTTGTGCGAAAAAAATCTTATGTGGAAGTGTGATGGAGAAGAAGAAAGACAGGAATTATTGCAAAAGAAATGCAGGAGTGAGAGGAGAGGATTTTATTAAAGAAGTTCAAGCTTTTATATACATTCAATGTTTTCTAATATGTTTCTTAATAAATGTATTATCAACTATCATTATACCTAATGCAGCCACAATACTGTACTATTCTGCAGTCAGAATGGGAAAACTCCATTAGCTCTTTAATAAAATAAAATCATCAACAGTCATCATCACGACTCTTCTTTTTGCCGGGTATTAACTAAGACACTGGGAAGTCCAGTGAGTAGACACAACAGAACACAAAATCCTCAGTATTTATTTCAACGTGTATCATGTGTCTTCTTCATATTATTTCTAAAGCAGCTTTAAAAAACTTTTGCCATTGGAAGGTATTAAAAAATAAAACCCATTCAAATTATCCTGGTAGTATAGCAGCACTGGAATTGATAGTTACTCTTTTACTACTTTTGACAATGTAAACCTTTAATAAAATAAACAATATTGAAACAATTTGAGGTCTAATAGTTCATGAACTTTAACGGGCATATGGGCACAAATTGAAACGAAGACTAGGTTGTGAAATGAAACATTAGCTCAATACCAGCCAGTTCCAGTTGTGAAACTGGCTGCAGACAAATTCGGCTTGGAAGCTGAAAAAAACCAAAGCCCACACTCAATTCACAATATTCAGTTGTTCCCATTTCAAATATTTTTCACATGAACCCTACATGAGCATGCCCACTTCTGACAGAAGCACTCTGAAAACACTGCAGGTGCTTTTTGTTTGATTGAGATTTTTCGTTTTTCTGTAATCAAAAGCATAGTTCACATTTTTGTGTTCTTAGAAACATTTCTATGTTTCTGTAAAATCAAAAGTAATTTCAAATTCAAAATATAAGCTCGCTCCATCTTTGCTCATACAAAGTGTAGGTGCCCCAACTAAATAGCAGTAAAAATGCTGAGATGTACAACTCTTAAAAAAACAAACAAACAAAAAAGCAGCTTTGAAGACACAACATCAACTACAGCCTTAACATTGAACATATTACATTCCCAAGTTAATGGAGAGATTTTGCATATAATGCCACAAAGTTATTCGGCTGAAACCTTGAGGTTGAATCTACAGTTTACTCACTGTATTTTTTCACCCTTAGAGCACTTACGTATTGTATAATACATTTTATCCAGAGCTTTGCAACCTTTCATGTCTGGACATGCCTTTACCCCCAAATCCCAGATTTCAAAAGTTTCATAGAAAAAATAGGCGCGCTTGACAAACATTTGAAGCTGGACATTTCCATGCCTCGGAGCAGCCCCTGGGACATGCTTCAGACTCTTCCTTCTGCTTTGTCGGGACTCCTGGCCCCCTTCTAGCTCATAGAAAGCCCCACTTTAAAATGCATTGACACATCTGGTTTCAGAACACAGATCTGTTTATAAAACTGTATACTGAGTACTCTGCATTAATTTTACTCGAGTTGCATTTTGTAACATGAGCAGATGACTTCACTGCCCCCCTTTTCCTCCACCCTATTTTCGCTTGAAACGACAGTAGGCACCTGCGTGATCGAGGTGTCAAAGGCTCTCTGTCCAGAGAGAGGATTTTGAGTTTCATCATCTTTTCTGCAGACAGTCTTAGGAAATGATTAGCATGAAATAATTTTGAGGGCGAGGGGCAGGAGGATAAAGCTCACTTTCTTTTCCTGTTATGAAAATGAACTTGATTTTGGTGTCCAGTTTGATAAACAAGGATAGTCAGAGCTAATCTGTAACTCAGCTGAGGTCTGCTTCTTGCCAAATAAAATTAAGATTTTTTTCAACTTTCAGGGATTTAGAGACCACATCTAATTGGTTTCAAACCCCTGGAGGAACTCAGTAAGTAAACAGGATTAGTTGCAGATACGAGCCCACTAAAGTGGGACACAGGTCAGGTCTTCAGACTCCAGCTCTGCTCTGTTGAAGCAGGCACTTTAGGTCTCCTGATGTTTCTCTGTCAGTAGCCACAAAAAATGTTTTACTGCTGAGAAAATCATTGGAACACAATTTTTACAAGCCCCAAAGATTTAACTTCACACTTCTGTTAAAAAAAAAATTATTTGAGTCAACATGTATCAGGGTACTGTGATTATGATGCGATGGTGCAACTGGTAACTTGAAAACGCATGTTTACAAGGCATAGGCAGTTGTATTTCCGACTGCTGTCCTGTAGGGACAACCAGGTGTCCTTCAAGAAGTTGCCATCCTGACTCCACGTATGTACCATGTTGAATCGATTATTCCGTCAGGTCTTGCCAGCAGGGCAGGGTGAGAGCTTTGTTCACGCTGACCTTGTCTTCCAGATCCCTCCCAGCCACCCGGAAAATGCAAGGAAAATCCACACAATTACACAGCCTTTAGCAGCTCAAGTAACTGCCCTCGTATGTATAAGCAGGTAGGTCTTTGTCAGTATATCTGCTCTTCAAAGATAAAATAATCTAGCCAGCTGCATTAATTGAAAGAGAACCTAAAAGACTTTGGGGCTCATTAAAGTTAAGAATAACAACATGATGTGATGACAGATACAACTTGCAGAGTTTCTGAAAATAGCAGGTTAAAATGTAAATATCTTTTAATAAATAATTTTCCTGCAATGTAAAAATAAATGGTATTTCCTTTGGCAGTAATAGCTGATTTAATCTTTAGCTGGGAAGTTGTTTTGCTCATAAAATATCATTGTGCTACAGAAAAAAAAATATTATTTTGTTATTCTGAAAGACTTTTGTAATCCACGATAAACTGGATGACTCTACTTATGTCCAAGATAAGCGCCAAGAGTGATGCAAGCTCCTACCAGAACCAGACTCAGGATAGTCTTCAGAGAGATCCAGGAGAAATCGAACAAAGGCCTCATATTGTTGCCATACAACTCCACGAAGGCATCCTAGAAAGGGAAATAATGGAATATCAGAATTGCAGTAACTTTTCCAGAGAGGGAAAACAACTTCTTCAAGCTCAGTGGTCACTCAGCAATCATGCCACCCAGCAACCCCCCACCCTCTCCCAAACCTATTAAAATAGTGATTTGGGAGCTATGGGTTTGTGCAGTGCTTGTCACAAAGTTCTGCTTATTTCTTTACAAATATTGCTGTACTTATGGTTGTGACTTCTGCTTTAGGCATGCCTAGTCTAATAGAAAATACAGAGGCAGCGTTTTTAAATACAAGTACCACCATTTTGGCTCCTGAATGTTGTATATACAAACATGCACAAAGGAGGTAAACAGACCTTCATTTTCCAAACCTTTAATTTCCACTGGACATGGGGCATCTATATTGCTGGTTGGCTTTGCTGAAAATAAGGCAGCATTTATTTGGTTTTCTTGTGATGTGCTCAGAAGACTGCATGTAGCACCCACAGATGTTTCTTCCATATGAACTAAAGCTGTTAGGCTTGTGTTACACCCCTCATGGTCTTTCACAGCTGTCACCAAAAGGTCCCGTGCTTCTGCTAATCATGCCTTGGATGTGGCAGTGGTCTGGCTGTAGGGTCCATTGGGCCAACCAGCTGGTATGACAGTCCTGAGCAAGAATTGTCTTGCCATGGGATTGTCTTGTCAGTCTGACTTGCCCTCCAGCCAAGACAATCAGGTAGAGGAAGAGGAGGAGAAGCATACAGTGATGCCATGTCTCATGGCTGACCACAAATCACGTTTCGTGAGGTGTAGGGGGAGTCATCTCCCTCAGCCCAGCCCAAACTACCCTGGGTTTCTTCTTTGAGCTGCAGTCCTCCATGTATGGACAGCTGTTTTGTAAAGATGCTGTGTGAAAGCCTGGAGGTATGTGTAGGCACCAAATGGAAATGCTGTTTAAGTAGCAAAGATAAAGTTTTTGTGACGCACAAATACGGTGGGATTTGATCGGACTAGTGATAAGACTGGTGATATTCTGCACGTAAAGCCTTTCTTTCAGGCTGTAATTCCTAATTAACATGAAGCTTCAGAGCATTCCTGAGACATAGATAAATCATACTGAGTGGCATGAAAGCAGCAAATATCAAGGCTGAATGGCTTTTAAAATGTGACAGAACTGATAGCATCGTTTAAGGCAACTCTTTTATTGTGCCCCCAAACTACTGAGATAAACCCATTAAAGAGCCATCTAATGTGGGGCTCTCCTTCTCTACCTTTACGACCTTGTTTTGTAATGTTGCTATGCTAGGAGGTAACGTGCCTTCTAAAAATGCATCTGTGTTATGGTTTCCACCATGAATTAAGGAGAGAAAGGTCTCTATTATTAATACAAACCTTCCAGCCAAGTTAATTTGCCATAAATTGTGTAGCTGAACTCGCCTCCGTCATTTGCCATCTCCCGTTGTCAGAATAAGAGAGTTTGTGGTTTTACCACGAGAGGGCGTGTAAGGTTTTTTAATATTTTGCCATTTTGACTCCTATTCACTGAGGCACTGAGTGAGATTCAAGAAAATAATAGGTATTTGCTTCCAGAATATGTTATTACATTAAGTAATATTGCTGCACATTGTAGGCAAGAGTGGATAGCAGTAGGTAAGACTCGGTAACAGAACTGCTATAGGCTTTGGCCAACTGATTGACCTGAAAATACATCTGCCTCCTGCTATTTCTCAGTGCTTCTTCCTCAAAGCAATAATTTTCAAACTTGGGTTTCCAAAGATATATTATTGAGTGAAAGCAGCTTAACCTTTGTGGAGGAACGTTTTAATACAAACTCTTCATTCCGGAGGAAATTTGGCAACTTTTGCTTAGCTGCCTGATCTTTCAAATAGACATTTGCAAACTCTGGCCTTAATATTCTGCTGCACTGTTGCAGAGCTGAAAAAGCATACACAGTTCGCTGTGCGGCTCTTTGTAAAGCTGCCTTTATTTCTCCTTAAGGCTATGATGTAACACAATATCCTAAAATGTTACAGACTGGGTACTAAATCCTGTTGTCGCCAGTGCAGGCTCACTGACTTCCACAGGAGCTTTGTCTGTATAGGGAGTTCAAGATCAGGCCTTATGAAAATACAACAGGGGTAAAGTTCAACAGTTGGTGATATTATTATGGGTAGAAAAGAGAGGAAATGAAAAAAAAAACCAAACCAAAACCATGGAAATGCAAGAGTCATGTGAATACATTTTAACATTAAGATTTTCATGGTTTCTTTCTGTGGGAAGGTCTCACTTCTGTATATTCAGGGAAGCTGACGCATACACAGTATCAATACCAAAATGAGCACATTTTGTGCTTCCCTGCTATCCCAGTTTAGAAACATTCCTCCCAGTCTGTCTGGGAGGCTATTTCTAATGATCTGGTAGAGCTCCTGGTATGGGTATGAAAATGGACAGAGGGTTACAGTAAAAGTCGAAGGCAAGGCAAAAGTACGGTATAACCTACGGCTCAAAAGAGGAATGTTAACAAAAACTGTGCAGCATGCAGTACTTTTCTGCATGAGGGTATTACAACAATAACATGAACCCAACCTAATGGTGTCTGCACTATATATTACAAGTAGCTCTTTATGATGGTTCCCCCTCCCCTTCTCAAACATCCTGATTAGACCTATTTCCGAAGCTTGTTTGAACAGCCTGTCACTATTTGTTTAAGTTTCAAACGTGTTTTAAATAAACACATGTCCATTTTATGTACTAAAACAAGGAGAGGGGGGAGGGAAGTATGACCCCTTGCTGCAAACTATTTTAGCACAAAAAGAGCCCTAAACAGAATCTCAGCTGTTTCATAAGGTTTCTCTCTTCTCTCCTTCTGTAAACCCATGTATTTGTCACTGGATTTTTGTCACCTAAACCGGTCTGTTTAAAATAAGAGAATCTCCGCTAAAATAAATAAGATTAGGAAAATTGCTTGAAACACTTGATGTCCTCTGAAAAGCACTCTTTATAATGAAAGCAAGGGTCCCCTTGGCAAATAGACCGAGGCAGGTTCTGGCTTGGTCAACCTTTCTTACGTAAGTCTTACATAACTGGAACGAAAATGGTTGCAGGCCTTGCTTTTAAGACCTTCAAAATTTAATGGAAAGTTATATCCTGGATATAAAATTCTATCAGGGCAGTTAAAATTATATGGAAAAGAACTCTTCATTCAGCTCTGTAAGTTTTTAAAAAGTCATTTCTTAAGAAGCTTTTATTAAGTCAAATCAGTCCATTGCTGGTTTACTATACAACTTTACACTGACTGTTTCTGAGAAGCAAGGAAAGTGGCAGTAGTGAAGGGAAAGAAGCTCTGCCTAAGCTGCTTTTAGCACCAAAGCACCTGAGATGCCTGTCTTTGCCTACCTAGGCTTGATTGTCAGGCCAGGAAGATTGCTCTGAGGGCACCCTTCGCTGTCCTCTTGCCTGATGAATTATATGCAGGGAGGACATAGCATTTTCCTGGCCAGAGTTCCTGGGATTTACAAGGAGCCCAGGGCAAAATTACCCTTGGAGGAGTAATAGTGCACTGAGACAAGGCAGTCTCAAAACAAAGCATCCGCATCACACTATCCTGGTCTTTCACTGGCCCAAATTTGGCAGCTCTGATCCAAGAAACAAATGTCATTTTTAATTACATGGTCATTCTTTGCTTGCGCACTCAGCCGAGTTTGTTCCGTCTCAGTTCTTTTGCAGCTCAGCCTTCACCCGTGCTTGAGAGGCAAGGCATAGATAGCTTCTCGTCCACAGAGAAGTACGTACTTCCCATAGGCTGAGCCCAGCGAAGCATTACGGATCTGATGTCTCCCTGCTGAAGATATGGAGGGAGAAGGCAGTTTCAGCCTGGCTTTTCTGACTGAGGGGGCGGTGGGGAGAGCAAACATGAGGAAGTAAAGGCTTCCTTTTTCTACCTGAATCAAACAGCTGGTGAGGAAGTGACTTTATTTCCCTCGTTATCATTGGGTTGGCAGGATATCCTCTTGAGCCACATTGTATTGAATGAAGAGCCAGTGAGAATTCCATTTTACTGAACAGCAATTGCCTTGCAGCTATTTTATGCTGCTCTCTCTGTGACTCCAAAACAAACAAACAAACACACACTAGCTCCCGACTTTTGAAGAAACTTGCACAGGTCTGAACAAGGCACCTTTGCTACCCGGAGTGGGAATGGCATTTGCGCCAATGCCAAGGTTTAGCAGCTGAATGACTTCCAAAACTCTTGCCTGCATACAAATGACATAAATCCTCATAAAAGCTTTCGTTCCTGAATGGTAACTCATTTCAGAAAGAGCCTGGGGAGGGAAGGAGGGAGAAGACAGAGCTGGCTAAATCGTCCCATGTTTTCTATGCAGTGAAACCTCATTAAAATGTCATTATGAAGCTAAAGAGAAAAGTTCTTGGAACACAAAAAGTAGGCAATCTGTAGCTGTTCTTTTCCCAAAGAGTTTATGGGTCTTTTACGCAAGTCTAAGTCATGAGTACATGCAAATCAGGATAGCTCAGGCCTTGATTGTGGTGTGCCAAAGTGTGGTTTTTTCACGAGGTCGGTATCTTTAGAGAGGCCGGTATCATTTTACACTGGGGAGTGCCAACACGCTGGCAGTCATGCCAGGTACACGTTATCGAATTACAATGGGAAGGAAAAGAAGGTGTCACCACACAAACCTTGCTGACCACGGGCACAGAACCTGCCTGGAGAGTGGCTTCAGCATGTGCACCTCTGATCAAATCCTCATCCCAAATATTTCCTTTCCTCCTTCGCTTTTGCCTGTGGTAGAAATGGCTTCTGACTTTGGACAAAACTGGTTCTCATCACAGTGGTCTTACCAAACTTCTCTGTTCCTTGTCCTGGCTATCTATTTGTATAAACTCTTGCATGGGTGAGCCTGTAATCTTGGGGGCATATCCTGCAGATCCTAGTCTTGCCAGGCTCACACTGAAGTCTCTGTGCATTGAAATCAGTGGAAATACTATTTGCATAAGGCTGACTAAACATGGCA